TGGTTCTGAGTTTCCTTTCCTCTTCAAACTGCTGGGGAACAAGAAGTCCATTCTATAACCGGGTGAAGAACAGACATCACCATCCCAGCCCTCATCTGCAAGGACACAGTTAATGAGGAAATGTGAACTTCTGAGCTAGCAGCTGTATCTTCTCATTATCAAATGGGGCTCAAGTGTGACTCACCCTAGAGTCATCCTTTCCTGTCAAATCCTGACACCTCCATCCAATACCGAGTGACTCAGAACACTTTATTTCAATCTCCATGTCAGGATGGCTCCTGGCTTGGGTATTAGAGCCCCTGAGCAATTTTTCAGTTTTAGAAATACCTGTGTCACTTAACCTCAATGACTCTGTTTGATCCTTTGAATAAACGCAGGCAGTATCACCGGCCATATTTCACTCTAGCAACCTTATGAGCAACTGTTTAATGCTGTATTATATGAGGACAGCGCCAGGGTAGCAATGGACCAGTCAAGCAGGAGAGGCTGAAGAGAGAACTCCAATACCATGAGTGGTCCCAAGGAGTGGTGATGGTGTTCAATCAGCCTAAGCACTCTGGGGTCAACAGTCATTACAAGTAGGTTCTAGGTAGATCCCCAAAGCATCCCCTACCTCAGAAGTATAGGAAAATGGATGTGGTGTAGAAACACAGCAGTCATCTAGGGGCAAAGAAGGACGGTATCATGCACTTTTGCATCTTAACAGTTCTATTTAAAATTGACCAAGAGCATTTGTGATTCTTTCTCTGTATCTCTGCCTCCGTCTGTCTGCCTCTGTGTCTCTTTGTCTCTCATCCTAACTCTGTCTCTGCCTCTGTCCCTCTCTCACTGTTGTGTGCCTTCATCACAGTGTCTTCTGAGTCTCTGACTCTCAAATGTAAAGAGAACAGGAACAAGGTAGAGTTGGATTTTCAGGTAGTTTACCACTTAGCAGTCTGTGAACATGATAGGTCTCTTAATGTGAGTTTCCTCCTCTTTAAAATGGGAACAGTAATCCTCACCAAGCTGAGCTGCCATTGAGATGAAGTGAATGAAGCAGGGCACCACGTACATGTGACGTGGCTCTTGGCCCATAACAACTGCTCAGTCAATACTCATTGCTTCTCTTAGCTCCCCATGATATGCTAGACTCCCACCAATCTGACAGCTGTCTTCCACTGTGGCCTGCCCTCAGCCCATTTTCAGCCAGCCAATGGAGCCATGACTAGAAGGAACCATTTTTCATCCAATTGGTTTCCTTCCAGCAATTTCATACAGCCTCTCGCTATAAATCACTCTGGGAAAATAAATGTCCCCAATCCATTAGTGCGCTTCCACCACAAGACAGCTTGAGCCACAAATGAGACAAGGCTTGTTAATGGCCACTTAAATACATTCCTGCAGCCCAAGCAGGAGACCCTCAGCCAACCAACCACAAGTCCTACCAGCTCCTGTGCCAGAGAAACTCCCTCCTCTGTGACCAAACTTACAGCAACAAGGAGACAGATCTGACCTTTTTCAGTTGGGGGAAGACCCCACACCTGCTTCCCCTAGGACAGTCCCAGTTTGCTGCTGCTCTTCCAGAGGATGCAGTAGTGCCCCTTTCACTTTAAAAAGAGTTCCACTTTGAATGGCAGACTATATAGGTATCCATAGCAACCAAGAACAACAGTTAGGATAATAGCAGCTGTCATTTATTGACCATTTTCTATATGCCCGGCATCATCAGAAAGGTCTTACATGGTATACCTCATTAAACTTCATTATAATACTAAGAAAGGAGGTACTATTGTCTCCACTTTATGGAATGGGAAACTAAATTTAGAGGAAGTAGGCAAAAATGCCAATGTCAACTAGAAAGCATGGTTGCTCCTTAACCAGGTCCCTTCTAGAGTTGGTGCACCCACACACACACACCTTCTGGGAATGTTGGTTGCTTGTGGTTCAGAGCAGCCCCATTCTGTGGACAACAGGCAAACAGAAACATCTCCATTTGAGCAATTCTATGGCCACCTGAGGAAGCAGCCCACGCCACAAAATGCTTCCCCTGCCCCTTGCTTCAGGGTGAGACTGACCATTCCCACAAAGTGTCCTGTGGGAGCCGCTGATGCCACACCTGGCTCAGCTCTCTCCTCTGCCCTAGCCTGTTTCTCATATGCCAACTGTCCTGGAAGCAGTCCTGCAACAAATGATTTAAAGAAGGATCCCTGTGTCAGGCTCTGCTTCCAAGAAGCCTGTGACATCCAGTTAGTGAGTGGCAGAGCTGGGACACTTGTCCAGGAAGTGTGACTCCTAGCCACTAAGTAGATGTGACACAGTGTTGCCTGTAAGATATGCAGGATTCAAATGAGGTCCTCCAGGTTGTCTGGTCACCACAAAGCTCGTGTCATAGTGGTACAGATATGACAAAGACAACGATGACAACTGGCAGTCACAACAATGATTGCTGTAAGTAAGCCAGTGTCTTTATTGTCTCCAATCTTCTCAACATCACCAGCTTATTATTCCCATTGTGTAGACAAAGCACAGGAAGCTGGAAGAAATGGAGATGTGGCCACCAATATCACAAAGACAGGAAGAAACAAGACTAAATCTTACACTCAGGCCCATCTTGCCTCAAAGGCCACATGCTTTTTCCACTGGGCCACTGAAAGCTCTGGCTGTGTAAACTGTTCATTGATTAATAAGTAAAGCAGGTCCCACCAAGCTGACATTCTTTAGACAGGAAGCTCTGCTACCCTTCCTACCTCTGCTCTGAGCAATGGTTCTTCTTGTGTGGCATTCAACCAAATGCCTCTACTTTCCAAAGAAAGCTATCTTACTCTGGAAACAGCCAAAAGAAGTTCCCTTAATTCACACATAAAAAGAGCAAAGGATCCATATTATTGAAGAGTGAAAGAAAAACAATGCATGGCAAAGGTCCAGAGAGGAGAATTATATTTCTTATGACTTTTCAACCAAGGGAAACAAAATGGAATAAAAAGAAAACAGCAGCTCTTTAAGGAGAGGCAGACTCAAATCCTTGCTGTACTATTTGTGTGAAATTTCTGGCAAGTAACTTAATGTCCCCAGGCCTCAATTTGTTCTTCTATATTCCAGAAAAAATATCTATCTCATTAACTCATAAATGAGAGAGTAAATGAGATACAATCTGTATTTCTCTTTGCCTCTTCTCTTCAATTTCCATAAAATTTATAGAGCAATCAAACTGTGCCCTCATTGTAGGTCCAAAACCAGTTCAGATGTAGTATGCTTTAGTTCCAAGCAAAATGCACATTTTATTCGATTATAAAAGGTTTCCATTAAAAATAAAGATCAGATCAAGGGCGGACCTTCATCCATGAGGCCATCCATTGATTCATAAAAATACAGAGTGAGTCATCCTGGATCTCAAGGCTCAAACTTAGCAATCAATGAACATCCCTGGCCCGCCAATCCCAGCCCAGTGGAGGACGAAGGGCCCAGTCAGCCATCTTCCCAAGCTACCCCATCCTCCCTTGAAAAACTGACTCTGCTTTCAGCTTGGCAAAAGGAAAATCAATTGGGTCTCTTTGCCGTACTGCACCTCAGGCCTGCATGGCTTTCTAATAGGATGAGGGGTATGTAGTGATTTCACTGTGTGTGTGTGTGTGTGTGTGTGTGTGTGTGTGTGTGTGTGTGTGCGCGCGCGCGTGCACTGCTCCACTGAAGAACAGAGTTGAAAAATCAATCTCCTGGCCTTTACCTTGGCAGTTATTATTTCAAAATGCTTTGGTTCCTATAAGCATTTGTGCAGTTACTGTAGCATAAGGCTACTGAACACAGAGATGGGAGAGTACAGACTGATAAGCACTGCAAGAGAGGCTCTTTTCTTTTCTTAAAAAAAAAAAGTAGCTACAACATTGCACTCTCTGAATATAGACTCTGATATAAGACTCCTAGAAGCCAATCCTCAGTTTGGAAGATGGGTCATAAATTACAATATTAATGTACACAGAAACTATGATTTGATGGTTTTTTGAGGGGTGAGAGTAATCAGTACATGGTTTTAATGGTACTAGGCAGAAGTTCTGCCCGCAAGAGAAATGACTCAACAACGCTCCTCTGAGCTCTTTTCTTAATCTATTCATCCAGCAGTGACTTATGCAGGACACGCCACACATCAAGCACTGTGCAAGGCACTGGGGTTTATGAGGAAAGGGCAGACAGATACTCTGCCTTTCAGGTCCCATCAGTGTGGTGAGAGTTAACAGAGCCTCTGTGCAGGATCCTCCAGTCTGCAAAAGCCTGGATTCCCCAGAAAGGCCTCAGAGTGGTGCTCATAGCCCAACACGACCAGGAGGGGGGCACCTGGGATCACTGCCTATGGCTCCCACCAGCTGACCTCTGTTCTGACTAAAGAAACCCACCTCTGCTCTTAAGGTAGCAAAGGCAGGAGGTCTCTGCAGTTTTCTTGCCTCTAGAGCAGGTCCCAGCTCGGTTTCCCGCCGCCCAACCTAGCAACCTGCTGCTACCGCGGGGAGCTGTTGTGTATTGGTTTTGAAAACCAGATGAGAAGGGGCTCCGTCTTTTCAAGCCTCCCGGGTCGCTGCAGAGTTTTGGATCCAGCGATCCTCTTCTGGTCAGCCTGCCCCAGGACTCTGGGGGAAAGGAGCCTGTAGCCTAAACGCAGAGAGGCTCTCATTCCCGGGACTGGCAGCTGGGCGTGGGTCTGGACAGGTTTCCCCGGGAGGAATGGGACCTCAGGGCCTCTTAGAGCTCTGAGTGGCTCATGGGGTGGGAGAAGTCCAGAGGGTATAGACAGAGGTCCCATCTTCACCCCGGAGAACACGGGGGAGGCAGGAGGGGTGGGATGAGATCCACCGCTGCTCAGGTCCTTCCCTGTGCCAGGCGCGGGGAGGGAAGTGTGCCGGCGGGCTGCCCAGCCCTGCATCTTGTCGCCAGCCCCATCCGCACAGCGGCACAGAGATTAAAAAGCCCAGGTGTCAAACCCCGACCCGGCCAGTTAGTGGCAGCTGAGTGATGCTGGACAAATCTCTCACCCTCTCAAGTGGTTTTCTCCCCCGTACTGGAGCATAAAGCTGATCCTAACTCACTGGGTCCCAGGAAGTACGAAATGAGACAGCACACGTAAAACTCCGCCCGAGGAGGCAGCTAGCACACAGTCAGCCTGCAGCTGCTCCTGCGTTTAGCCACGCTAAGCACCCCAGCCCTAGCCGGGCCTAGGGGCTGCGCCCGGGACTGGAGCTCGCGCCGCGACCGGACGCCCCCACGCAAGG